TATTTTCAAGTTGAATTAATTTGAATTGTTTCCGTACCCACTCTCCAGCAGGTATCCCGCCTCTGGTCTGATCCCCCAAGTGGACTACATGCGAAAACTTTAAGGATCCTATTAATACTCATATATATACATGCTTGGGAGCTATGAGATTCATAATAACACCAGAAATGTAATAAAAGTACTCTACTTAAATAGTGCTTTTGTAATAATATAAGATGTTGAGATTTCTTCCCCAAGACCTGATTCCTCTTTATCTGAGAATTGCTCCACAAAAGCCCAGAAAATAACTCTCAGTACCTATGTTTATACCACGTGACCTCAACCCTGGGGTCATTGTGATTGGATCAGGTCCAGATATGTGATTCAAGACTTGCCAGGGGTGTTCTCCTCCCACCAATTTAGAATTGAAACTCAGAGATCACTGGTCACTCTACCGGGGTCAGGACAAAAGGTGAGGCAACAGGGCACCTAGGTAGCAAAATGTATTGGCACTGCCAAGCCCCTCAAATTCTGAAAGTTTGGATCCCAGGAGCTTCTCTTGCCTCATCCTAATCCTGGTCCTGGACTCTTTATATGTGGCTAACTTCCCAACATTCAGAAGCTATACCCAGGTAATCACAGAAAGCCTGTCTTGGGGTCGAGTGTGGGAGCTGAGGAGAGAGGGACAGAGACAGAAATGAGATTGTTTTTACCTTGAGAAACCCCTGTTCCAGGACAGCACAGCACTTTGCACCTCGCTCCCCCAGCCCTTCAGGGCAGAGCTGCAGGCTCTAGGACCATTTTGCTGCAGGCCAGAGCAGCTTCTCACCACAGGCTATGTCCCAGCTGTGTGGAAGTCATTGGTCTCCTTTTGTTTCAGAGCTGCCCTTTGAGGTGTGAGACAAGGACCCCGAGAGCTGGCACCTTTAGCTATGCTTGTATGTAACAGGTTATCTGAATCTAAACAGGGCTTATTATTTCTTTATTAAGTACATCTTTCCGTTTTAGCCACATGCAGCTAATCAAATTTCAGTTCATTCAAAATAAAATTTTAAATGTAATGACTCGCCCACACCGCATTTTAACTGCTCAGTAGGCACAGTTAACTACTGTCTACTGCCTTGGACAATGTAGATATAGACCATTTTCATCATTATAGAATAGTCTGTTGGGTAGCGCTACTCTAGATGATAAATTATTCCTCAAGGGCAGGAATTATACCTTGTTCAGCACTCTATTCCTTGATTCCCAAAATAGTGCCTGGCATATATTAATGGCTCAGTAAATGTTTGAGGAATTAAATTTTTTTAAATGATAGGTAAGAGAGCAAAAAAAATAAAATTGAGTGAAACTTCTTAGAGAGGATGAAGAAAAATAGAAACCCAGTTGAATTTTGATACACTACTACTGAAGTTGAGGGACTCCTCAAAGTCCAATATAAAATTGCCAGGCTTCCCCACTTCTTTGCAGCAGAAAGCAGAACCCTGCACACTGCAAAGTGTGAATGAAACCAAGGATAGGAAGCAACAACACAGAGGCCAAGAAACCACAACTGAGCCGCCTCCCGAGGGATTAGCCTTGTTGGAGAGGTAGCCCTCAGTAATACGGGTGCAACCTGATAGGGGCTGAGAGTTTAAGGCCACATTGTTAGCTGGTTCCAGACCCCCACATTCCCAGGGGGAAATGGAGCAAGTCTATGCCCGCAAGGAGAACTCGACTTTTCAGAGGAAGGACAGTTAAAAACTGGCCAAACACC